AACATGTCAAAATGACGTCAATTATTGGTCGAATCTTGACGACGACCAATTGCCACCTATTTATCCACGTCGATTCGACGAGAATTAACGTCACCCTGCTGGCTGGGATGCTTGATTTACTACCTTCACATATTTTCATCAAGAGGACTGAAGCTCTCAGACCATACACACTGAATTACAATGAATTGGCCAGACCAGGTGATGTCACTGGTCACATGATGGTCATTTTACAAGTACAAATGGAATCAGCAACCCAACCAACAGACTCAATGTCAGCCAGGCTGAGTTCTCATCCTGCCTTTGAAGTGGTTATAAAAAGTACGGTTCCGCTGAGTCTCAGCTAGACACAGGATCCCTTGTTTGGTACACCGATGGTTCAAAATGGAATAAGGGGTAGGCGCAGGTGTGTATATGTACCCTGTTATGTATAGGTCTAAGTGGTCACCCTGTATTCATGTTGAGTAGTCTATGTTTGATGAAAAACAATTATGGTTGTTATTGAGTGTTGTGTCACTTTGAGATTTATATTAAAGAAGAACCTACAAGTTCATATTCAATATTGGCGCAGTCGGAGCAGAAAAGATTAGATATACATAATAATCAGAAATGTCGGCCATCGGTTCAATTGAACACTTCAATCCCAGCGAACCTAACAAATGGTTGAATTATATCGAGAGGCTGAAATTCTATATGCAAGCAAATGATATAATCGAAGAAAATAAGAAGAAAGCTGTATTTCTTACCGTATGTGGACCATCCACATATGATATAATACATTCATTAGTCGCTCCAGCAGCAGTGAGTGCAATTCCATTTGAAGACATGATCAAAAAATTATCTGAACATTTCAATCCAAAGAAATCTACAATGGTGGGCAGGTTTCATTTTCACCGAAGAGATCAGTTTGCTGATGAAAATATCGCGAACTATATTGCTGAACTCAGACGTTTAGCCACATACTGTGACTTTAAGAACGAAATATTGAATGAAATGTTAAGGGACAGATTGGTGTGTGGTGTTAAAGATAAAAATCTCCAACATCGATTACTCTCCGAATCCGATTTACAATTCAAGAAAGCAGAGGATATAGCTTTAGCACACGAAGCTGCAATCCGAAATGTTAGTATTCTTAAAGAAGGCGACAATTCATCGAACTCTACTAATCAAGTGAAAAGATTTGAACCACATAAAAGAATGCAAGATACAACAAGATCATTCGTGAAAGCATGTTTCCGTTGTAACAATCAACACCTACCTGAAAACTGTGATTTCGTTAACGCCAAATGTAATTTCTGCAAGAAGGTGGGTCACATAAAGCGGTCATGTTTATCTAAGAAGAGGCAATTCGGTTTCACAAGAAAGCAATTCAACCAGAAATCTGCTCTGTTTCGTCATTTCGAATCATTTCCGCCGTTGCATTGTCGTATCTGTTAGAATCAGTACCTGAAAAATCATTCACAGCTGAAGAAATAGCATATAAGACAAGAGAAGATGAAACACTAGCAAACGTTCTGTTCTGGACACAAAAGGGCTGGCCAGAAGACAAAAATGAATTACCGAAAGAATTACAACAGTTTTGGCATAAAAGAAATGAACTATCAGTTTATAATGGATGTCTCTTGTGGGGTAGTCGAGTAATCATCACACCGGACGAAAGAATACAAGTATTGCAAATTTTGCATGCAACACATCCAGGAATCGTACGTATGAAAGCCCTTGCTAGATCACATGTATGGTGGCCTGGACTAGACGCGGATATCGAACGTTTGGTTAGTTCATGTTCAGTCTGTCAAGAAAACCGAAATATGCCACCTAGAGCGCAAATTCATCCATGGGAAGAGACCAACGAACCTTGGCGGATTAGACTACATATTGATTTTGCTGGACCCACACAAGGATATTATTTCTTCATAGTTGTCGACTCTTTTTCTAAATGGCTGGAAGTGCGAGTAGTATCCTCTACTTCTTCTCAGTCGGCGATATCGGTACTCAGAGAATTATTCGCTACTCATGGAATCCCGATGGTTATAGTCTCTGACAATGCTACTGCTTTTACATCTGTAGAATTTCAAAAATTCCTAACGAATAATTTGATACGACATGCCAGAATAGCTCCGTATCACCCAGCATCTAATGGTCAAGCGGAAAGGATGGTACAGACGACCAAACATTTTCTGAAAATGATGAGTGATGGTGATATGAAGACGAAGGTAGCTAGATTCCTCATGCAGCAGCATATCACACCAGTTTCAAGTACAGGAAATAGTCCAGCAGAGATGTTGATGAACAGAAAACTGCGATCGAGACTAAATTCCTTGCACCCAACATTTTTGGAATCGTGCACAAAACAAACAAGAAATAATGAAACAACAGAAACATCGAGACAATTTCGAACGACAGATCCTGTGTATGCTCGAAATTATGGCAATGGACCAAAATGGAGTCCAGCATTCATACAAGCACCTCTAGGTCCAGTATCATATAGATTAGAGACTCCCGAGGGGCAGGTACTGCATAGGCATGTGGATCAAATAAGACGGCGGCGAGAAGAAAATAGCAGTTCATCTACTTCAGCAGATACAAATGATTCCCAGGATGGAGGAGAAGTATACGACAATGCAACGGCGGAAATGATTCGAAATGACGAAACAGAGCAGATTTCTGGTGAAAGTGAGCCGGATATACCTCATAGATCTACTAGAGTACGGAAACCACCCCCTTATTTGAATGAATATATACACTGGGGATATTCTACGAAGTAAAAGGGAGGAGTGTTATGTATAGGTCTAAGTGGTCACCCTGTATTCATGTTGAGTAGTCTATGTTTGATGAAAAACAATTATGATTGTTATTGAGTGTTGTGTCACTTTGAGATTTATATTAAAGAAGTAACAATTACAATATATTTCTATTCGACTCTTTTCTGAAAGAACCTACAAGTTCATATTCAATAACCCGGATGTAAGCTATTTGAAGGCTTAGGTCACTCTCCCACTATATTCCAAGCTGAAATGCATGCCATCAACATATGCGCCCATATAGGTGCCTGGGCAAAGGTCTGAAGGGTGACAGATCTGCTAAGAAAGCCAAGCCGCACTGAAGGCCCTAAAATCATTTGTTTTTACCTCGAAGATTATACGGGACTGCTTTGAAACACTCATGCAACTGGAAAAGGACAATAAAGTCACACTTATGTGGGTTCCAGGGCATGAAGGAATCAATGGAAATGAGGAGCTAATCACCTTGCAAAGAGAGGTGCAGAATATCTGCACTCATTGGCCCTGAGCTTTTTTGTGGGACAAGCAAATGTAACCGGAAGGCAGAACTTAGGAAATGGAAAGAAATTGAAAAGTCCTTCTACTGGAGAACAACTCCAGGTCAACTACAAGCGAAAAGATTTATCAACCATTCGCAAAACCGAGCCAAAGAGCTATACTCAGCCTGAGCAAACCAGAGCTAAAGATTATCACAAGCTTGCTAATATTACACGGCCCTCTGAGGTACCACCTCAGAAAGATAGGTCCGCCAAAGACCGAATCACTAAGAACAATCTATCTGACGACTACTGAGGTGGAAAATTCAACCGCAAGGATAATTCTAGGCTTCATCAGAACTCCAGGGTAAGAGGATCAAAACTAGATAAGGGTAATCACAATGAATCTTCTAGGTCGCAGTGATCGAGAGGTCTCCCATCAACCATCTAGACAATCATATATTGCAACAGCTGCCTCATGCACCAACTCGGATTTTAAACTTTGCGCGAAAAGCTGTCCTTTTGTCGAAGAAGTATATCAGATAGTATAAAAATAACAAACAAAAAACTCGTTTGTTCAAACTTGTTTGTCCATAGAATTTCAAATCTCTGCCTGAAGGTCAATATTTCCAAGAACATATTATATAACCTAAAAAAGTTCAAAAATCCACTCGGCACCAGCAGGTGTGCTCAATTATTCACAAACATCAAAGGAAAATGAATGTTCATTCAGAATTCTCGACTATCCTTGAATTCAGTAGACCATAAACAACCTCTGCCAGCCTCAGTTCTTGAAATGCTTCCTATAATTGAGGTATTTACTGCGATACTGTTTGATGGGTTGACGGAGTGAAATAATCGATAGAATAATTGTCCACTACGCTATAGTTTTCCAGATATGGTAGTTGATATTTTTTGCATCAGTACTATTCTTTTCCCAGGAATTATTGCGCAATATTTTTCATCATCTCAGGTTATAAAATTGATCGAGGCCTGAATCGAGACATATTCGACAGTTAAAATACTTGCGATCAATTCTCACATCGAAGAACAAAGCACGACTATACATTTAGGTACCCGAAAACAACAAAATGAAAAAATGAATAAACATGCAACACTCCACTGAATAATTGTAAGTCAATGCCTATGAGCAAAATGGTTACTCGCCTGATTTCAATACCTATCACACCAAAGTCATGAATTCAATGACTTTTTGCGCATTGGAAAGATGCGTTTTCAGGATAGCAATTTGAGATTTTCAGTTTACTGGTAAGTAGATAGTAGGTAGATATGTCGATGATTTTTTTGAATGTTTAACCACGAGGTGAAACGATCAGATGGAAAATATATGTCCATTGAAGCAAATGGAAGAACTGTTAATACTTTCCTGTCTTCAGCCATAGTGTTGAAATTGGAAGTTCATTATTCCTAATTCGGATAAACAAGTGTCATTGTGAAAAAATCGTAGGATTGATACCTGGCATATGTGTTATTCAAAATAATACTACAAAATAAACCATTACATTTTATTTTATAACTATTTTTACAAAATAAATAACCTAATGCCAATTATTGCTGGAAAAATATGGATAATACTCACTTATCAGACCGACTCGTTACGAAGTCGATAATGCACTCATAGATAATTATTTGAAGTAAAGGTTCTTACATGAGATAATGAGTTTTAAGCCAAAACATAAGTATTATCAGCACATTCAACCATCAACTATTGATAGAATATATTATTTTATAGTTCATTATGAACATATTCAGTCGTCACTCTCAATTCTTCCACGTGGAAATCATTGCACTTCTCATTATATAATGCCTGAAACAAAATATAAAATCAGTTCTCTACGACTATATTTCATTACACGGCATGTATGGACCCTTTCTATATAGTAACAGGGCGAAATTCAGTTGTTCTCAACACGCTTATTTGCGGTTCTCAAAGTCCCTACTTTCAATCTATGTTCTAATGTTCATATTGAGTCAATTCTGATCTTCATATCTCTTCATCTGGAGTTTAAGCTTCATAATGAGCCTGAGATTTCAAAAATCGGTTGACGGGGAAAAAAGTTGTGACTGCAAAACCAATAAAGATTTAATTTTTCGAGATCACACTGTGAATAAAAGAAATAAGAAGGCAATTCGAGAACTGTCCCAAGATAATGAGACCATCTACGTGCCTCTACTGTCAAAGTTTTTTAAAAAAAGTGTTTCTTCATTTGGGATACTTTTGAAATTTCCGAAATTTTTCACAGTTTCGGGTAACACCCTGTAGCTATTTTATGTGAAGAACCTTATGTTTTGAAGGATCATGAGATTATAGGTGAAGGACTGAGCTAGCTAATAGTGAGACCCGAATTCAAATCGTTCAGAGCAGAAAAAAGTTATTCATATTTCAACAGAGGCAAAATGTGACGTGTTCGTGTGACGAAATTAGTGTTGCGTAGTTTATAATAGCCGAAATATAGAGGGAGGGTCGTTTGAAATGAGACACGCTGTAGATTCGTTAATGTTAGATATTTTTTCATGAAATTTGGTACAGATCTACTTCAGAGGACGCCAATTCTAGTGGTGTACGCGGATTTTTCATAAAAATGGCTAATATGGATTCTGGATTTTTCAGCCTCTGAATGTGATCTAGTAGGCCTTGGGTTCTTTAAAAAAATGAACGCCGCTCAGCTTCAAAATTCACCTCTTCCCCTTCTTTATTTGAATAAAAAAATCATGAGGGTGACCCGCTTTCAAATGGGTCACTCTGGGTGTACTCACAAAAAATATAAAAAAAAGAATACCAAGCATTTGAACTAAGTCGAACTAAAGGATGTAAAATAAATAGTAGTTGAAAAAACTACAGAAACACGCTTTCATAGATAACCAAACTAAATAGAAGTGGAAAATGACATAATAAAATTTAGTTGTTGAATACACAACATAGAATATACTGATAACGAGGGTGCTAATATATTTCATGTTGTGTATTTATTAACACGGTTATATTAGCTTGGTATTTATGTTTGTATGTGTGTAACGCAGAATCTACGAACGTGATTTTGACCAATTTCAGAACATCAAGATCAAGATCCGATGACTATATAGCATGATTCAATAGTTTTTGTATTTGGTGGAACAAAACAATAGAAAATAAATACTACTTTGATGAAGTATTCATTCACGTCAGACTCCTGATATTTGAAACAAAGATTTAGTTCTTCAAAACCCATATTTTCTTTGGAAAAACTCTTGAATATCACTTCCGATTTCAACGGAAATGGAACTTGGTCGAGAATATTGAATAGAACACTGAATATATTTTTACGTCATTGGATAGAGCGAAAAATTTTATTTTCAATGACATATCAAAAATTGATATTTGTTTTCAAGTTGGCGGCGCAGGAGACTTTTTTTTTTAATTTAATATGGCGACACTGTGACTCCATTGATCGAACTATCGTCAATCTTAACTATAAAACTTCGATGTTGTTTTAAAAAAAATATTTTCTCCTATTCAAAATTTGGGTAAGGTAAAACTATTCAAAGTGGTTCGTTTATTATTTGCTATTTTATCAGTTTCGCTATATTGATTTTAGAAAATCTGTCTCCTGCGCCAATTTGAGAAATGTTAACTTGTGATGAGTCAATGATGGACATTTTTTGACCTATCGAATGTCGTGAAAATATCGACACAAGGATCCATTCAAAATTCTTGACCTAGGGCAATCTCCGGTAAAACCGGAAGTGATATCCAATTGTTTTTTCCATGGAAAATATGGGTATTGAAGAAATATATATCCTCAAATTTTGAAAGTCTTACATAAAATCGCAACTGAAAGACGTCCTGACCATTGATTTCGTTGCCATACGGTAAGTGAGAGACGAGTATACGGTCATCCAAAGAACGTCCATTGAATATCTAACATCCAATCGTGTTCGTCCAATGGTCGAATGACTTTCAAGATATCGACAGTTTGTACTCACCTTACAATTCGTTTCGTCCATGATATCAGTATAATAGGTCCAAAATGCCGTTTTCGTTTCTTCGCTCAGGAACCAGGCCGCCAACAAGCTGGATCCCTTGTACAAGAGATTTTTCAAACCTGGTAAACTCTTTACTTCGTTTTGGTTGTCTTCATTCACCAAACATAGCACATACCTGAAACAAAGGGACCCCAATACGTTTGAAAAACCTTCAAAGATATCCAGGGTGTCCAGAGAGAAAATCGACAAAACTCATGGAGACATGGGGGCTGCCATACGATTGTCCAAAACCGCTTCGTTACTGACATACATAGTGATTTTTGAATTTTGACCAACATTCAATCTGCCATATTAAGAACAAAGATTAACCGATTGTGTTCAAATTTGGTACACGGATTAAATTCAGCTTCAACAAGTAGCCTTCTGAACAAAACCAATATCAGGACCGGAATATACTTCGTTACGTCCGCACCTATGAACACTCATTCATAAAACTCATCCGTTCTACATATAATATATTTTGCTCGCGTACCTTTATACAGGGTGTCCGCTAAAAGGAGGTCAATCCATTAACCATATATTCCTTGAACAAAAATAATATGAGTTTCTAAATACCATCTTTCATTTTAGCCCTTCTTATTCGATATACAGGGTGTCAAAGTTGAAAATTAAAAACTGTTTTTTTCTAATTACTCGCGTAATTAATAAGATATTAATCTCAAAATAGGTACATTACTTCAGCACAAAGAGTTACATCGTGTGAGGAAAACAAAACAGAAAATAACTGTCAAATATTCAAAATACTGGGGGTCAAGAACACACTTACCCCCATATTTTTTTGTACGTGCGCTAATGACTTCCTATTCATTTTTCTTCATGTGTTCAATCATTTTTGAGTATTTTTTGATTTTTGTAAAATTCCGATAAAATTATTTGTTTTTAAGATAATTCGAAAAGTACTGGTTATTGTTTGATGCCTTGCGGCTTACGGTAATCTCATAATGTTCACATACTCCTATTTATTTCGTCGAAATTGGAAGAGGGCGTATCTTATTACGTACGGAAAAGTGAATATGGAAATACCGGGTGCTCAGAGCGAATGTATTAAAATAATTTTTACACTTTTTAATTTTTTTTTTGTAAAAATTATTTCAGTACATTTGCTCCGAGCACCCGGTATTTCCATATTTACCTTTTCGTACGTAAAAAGATACGCCCTCTTTCAATTTCGACGAAATAAATAGGAGTATGTGAACATTATGAGATTACCTAAGCCGCATAGGCATAAAACAATAACCAGTACTTTTCGAATTATCTTAAAAACAAATGATTCAATCGAAATTTTACAGGAAACAAAAAATACTCAAAAATGAGAACACTTGAAGAAAAATAGATAGGAAGTCATTAGCGCACGTACAAACAAAATATGGGGGTAAGTGTGAACTTGACCCCCAGTATCTTGAATATTTGACAGTTATTTTCTGTTTTGTTTTCCTCACACGATGTAACTCTTTGTGCTGAAGTAATGTACCAATTTTGAGATTAATATCTTATCAAATACGCGAGTAATTAGAAAAAAACAGTTTTTAATTTCCAACTTTGACACCCTGTATACCGAATATGAAGGGCTAAAATGAAAAATGATATTTAGAAACTCATATTGTTTTTGTTCAAGGAATATGTGGTTAATGGATTGACCTCCTTTTAGCGGACACCCTGTATACAAGAGATTGTAACACCACTGGGAATGGTACCGAGCCGGGAGTACGCGAAGTGTGTGTTCCGCAGAAACGAGATAAATATTGGAAAAGTGGATTATCTCTCTTGTATCGGAAATATTGATAATTATCAATTCCATATATCATATAGTCCATTAGCTCAAATCTCGTAGATTTATGGTCCTTCGAGCCGAACTCCACATTTAAAAATTTCCAGGATAACTCCCTGTATAATAATTATCAAAAATCTGAGATTATATTATGAATCTACTGGAAAAATACTAGAGGAAATTGTCGCGAAAATTTGTGGCACAATTTCAGTTATTCCGTAATACATTTTTTTTTTCATTGTCGGCTAAAATATTAGTGAAAATGAAATAAAATAAATATTTACGAAACAAAGACATAGTTGTTGTTATTGTCTTTGATTACCTTACTACCTCGTAGTAATATTTCATGAATTAGTCTTATAATCTGAAGAACTGAAAAATCAATTCGTATCAGGGGTGGAATGAGTCTTCTTATGTTATTGTAAGTATAACTGACCTAGTATAACAATCATCATTTATTTGATCATAGATTCAAAATACTTAACTGAAGAGATCGTATAGGAACTTGTATCGTAATATTAGTAAGAGTTTTTCGAATTAATTCTTTTTGTTATGTTCATTTCAAGAAAATATTGTTAGTCGTGTTGTATTTTTATAAAGTCAAATTCATAAGTAAATAAAGCAAATATAATTCTCGAAAAATTCAGCCGTTTTCAACAAGTTCCTATACGATTTTTTCAATCGATTCCGAATCTACGATCAGATCAATGTTAATTATTATTATGCTAGGTCTGTTATACAGGGTGTCCCTTGAAAGTGTGTTCGAAATCCTAGCACATAGTCCTGACGTCAAAATAAGCCGATTTCAAGCAGCTACCTTTTGTCCGATACTGCTCCGTTTTCGAGATACAGGGTCGTAAATTCAAAAAACAAAAATCAACAAGTACACCCCGAATAAATGTTTATCAATCAATTTTTTCACTACCCATTCACCGACCAAATAACATTCACAAATATAACAACAAACATGCATTTTTTAATGAGAGTAATTTAAATATTCCGATGCGGCATCGAACACTCACAAGCGAAATATCTCGAAATCAGCTTATATTCACAAGTTTTTGCAAAAGTACCTCTTTTGCTCTTTTTTGGTTCTGGTGTACGGTGTTCCAGAGAAGTGAGTCAGTTTGTGAGAGAGGCATCACGCACGAGACGAATTGCCCTTTTTTGCTAGGAAATATTTGAAAAATCATTTCATCGATAGAAAAAGTGAGAAAATACATTGAGAAATAAGTTATGGCCCATCTAAACCATAGGAAGTGTGCATTGTTAAGCGTCCTGTAATGGCCACAGTGATCTATATTCAGGTTCCCATCAATGTTTACAAGAATTTCGCCATTCTTGCCAATTCTGGCCTGCATATTCTGGGCCAGCATGAGGCCAACCAAAATTGTTTGCTGGGTTGCTATGAGAGTTCTGAAAGATTGATTCAAATATATTATAACCACCTCATAACATTGTATCAAAACAATCAGAAAACAACCATTCTTGACTGACGCTGAATTATTTATATCGAGAAAATCAAATAAAATCAACAGAATAATTAAATTCTCTGGCGATATTTTGAAACCTATAAGAATTTAGGTCAGTATTTCCTCATTATTATCATTAATCAATATGGAACATGCTCAATGTGACTCTAAAATAACCTAGTTTTTTGTATTTTCCAGGATACCGATCAACAAAAATGCGATATTTCGAATTATAAAGATGATAGATCGGCGCGGGTGGTGAAATTATGATATCATATTTATTATTTTGGAATATTACCCTACTCGCTTCACATAATATATTGATTGGATTTCAGCAATTGGGATTATTCAAGGTGTCAAGAGTTACTTAACAGCGATATTTTTTTTGCCTATAACTTTCTATAGATGTTGAATAAGGCGGATAGGGATGGTGGTACGTCAGTATTGTGCAGATAACATTCATGAATCAATGAATAGTTGTTTGAAAAAACTAAGAAAACATGCTTTCATAGCCAAACTGAAAAGTAGAGAATGATTTTCGAAAAAGTAAGTGGTAAGTATGTTTATCTACTCACTGAGTCGAAAGTAGGCGTTAGCTACCTCATTTAAGGAAACAAAGTTGTCATATCACTCAAAGGGTGGAAAAAATATCAACTCCCGTGGGAGGTGAAATGAAATGGCTTCAGCATGCATTCTTTGGCGTCGATATACCTATAAAATCTGTGCAATCCAAGTAATCAATGTACTTATCACTATTATAAAACAAGTAAAAATAATATCCTTTTTGAATTCCAATTATGTCATACACTTCTTTATATTCTAAACTAGCATCTCCATGATCAGTATATATTTTTATAATTTTTATAAAAATATACTGATTACGGATTATGATTCTATATCTTGATAGATTCACGGTTCTTGTTGAAAGTATAATTAGTGTCCATGTGTATTATACATACCTATCACATTTCGGCACAGATTTGGCAAACCTGTATGCTCTGTTTACCCTTGCCAATGGCTCGATGATTTCCAAATTGATCGTATCAGTTAGTTTATCAGTGAATTCATTGTGACTGCCGGAACTCTGTATTGGACCGTTCTTCTCCAGAAGTTTTAGTAGGTCCTGAAATGAAAGATGTATGAATTGAAATGCTATTATGCCACACAGACATGCATCAGAACTAATAAAATGGGGGTAATTACCGCCCCCCCCATCCCCCCCAGACGACCGTGCAGGTTCATTTTTCATTTTGACAATTCAATTCATGTATATGAAATCCCGTAAGCTGCTGTGATTTTGTCATTCTGACAACGAAAATTGTTTGCTCTAACTTCTCCAGTGACAAAACGAAAACTTAACATTCGATTGCATGACAACCAGAATGATAATAGATATTTACCATATCATATCATATCATAAATTATGTTCAATTTTTGTAGCTATGTACTGATGTATTCTTCTCTGTTAAAAAAATATGTAAAGTATCTCATTACGATTTTGAAATCAGTGTCGTAATGTTCCATATTACATATTCGTAATAGGTAAACAAATATTTGATGGTATTTAGTCATTTTACTCAAACCCGAAAAGTATTTAATCTGTGGAAATGTCGCGACTTAAAGTCTTCGAGTGGAGAAAAAAAAAAACACACAACAAACAAAAAACAATCATGTGATTCACGTATTCATTAATTCGTCTTACCGAATTACACTCAAGCATTTTCTTTAGTAGGAATATACTTAAAATTTATATAATTGTTTTTTTCCCTTAGGAAAATTATATTTCCAGGTGAATAAAACAAACTGAATTCAAACCTAATGATCAATTTGAAGGAATTTGACCGTGGAACAACAACCAAATTTTTTGGTTCCTGTCACCCCCGCGCCACGAATTAATCCCCCCTTGAGACAAAGCTGTATACGCGCCTGGTATTACTTGTTTCGGTAATTGAATTTGGGGTAGGCCAATTTTTAAGACATATCATCATCAATATTTGATGATAATCTCTCAGCCGATCCCTCAGACACTGCACATAATAAATTACAGCTTTCTTGGAATTTTCTCTTCCATATCTACAACATTTGATGCCAACTTTGGAGGAGATGTGTAGGTGTTGAACAACTACAGAGATTACGAAGATAAGTTCAAAAATTTACGAAAAATTTTCAACATATCCAACAGTTCCAAGCAATCATACACAGGGCTGTAACTGTGAAAACATTTAATGCTGAGTTTAATGCGAATGCCACGTGAAATGAAAAAGTGGGAATTACGCCGTTTGGCACGAATGTTAGAGAGTGTGGAAAACTATAACCCCAATATATCACCCCTTAGGCGCGACTACCCCTCTTGTGATACTCACTTTTTAGATGGGAATAGAATCATTTTACAGTGGAGACTGTAATAAATAAGACCTTTTGAGCTATCACAAAAGGGGTAGTGGCCCCTGATATTTACTAGAATATGGTGGTTCTAGTTCTCCCTATTTTGATTGGCAAGAAATTCGCATTTGAAGTGTTCATGTTGACACCATGAATATAAATATATCTGTCACACCAGTACTATCTTCATCAGTCTTCTAGCTCACCCTATCAAACCTACGGAAGCGCTGGAGGGCCTAGGCTAGATCATCATCTTGCCTGATAAGCAAGATGATCATACTTAACAATAGATGATATAGCCTAATAAACAAGATGATCTGGCTTAATGAGAATCTAGCCTAATAAGCAAGATGATCAGGCTTGATGAACAAGTTAATGTAGCCTAATGAGCAGGATGATCTAACCTAATGAGCTAAATGATCTTGCTTAATAAGCAAGATGATCTAGCCTAATGAGCAAAATAATCTGCTTTTTACCTCTTGGAGCGCTCGAAAGAAAATTCTTATAATATTGAAGGTGTTGAAATTCTATAGAACTTTTGGAGGTTATAAGTTATTGAGAATACTTCCATTGGCGAAAAATTGCAAAGCTTCGCTTCGTCGTGTAATTCGACATATTTTAAGGTTAACAACGAAAGGATGTGCGGACTGGGCATGTCGAGTTCGTCTGACTGGTATTGCTAGGGATGAAATTATAGCAGAGAATTTCCGAGGTACATATCCCGTGGAAGTATTCATAGGCAAAGTGGAAGGTCGCCGACTTTCCTACGGTTTTCTAATGAGGTCAAAGTGTTAAAGAGTATCAGCGTGTTTATTTTTTATCGCTTGGAGCGCAAGTATTCTGAAACTCTGTCCGAATCTGTGCTTTGTAAATCATGAGAAGCTGTTGGGGTGTAAAGGTTTTTGTGAAGCAGCTTTTGCGATGGATTGAACATGATTTTTTCATGAAAGAAAATTGCTGATGGTAATACCGATCATAAATATAGTGGTCTTGGGAGAAATAGTGGTACCAGACATTACAAGAAGATCTTGCTCAATAAGCAGGATGATCTAGCCTAATAGGCAAGATAACCTTGCCTAATAAGCAAAATGATTTGTTTAATGAGCAAGATGATCTAGTCCTAGTCTATCATGCAAGATGATCTTGCTTAGCAAGCAAGATGATCTTGCTTAGTAAGCAAGATGATCTAGCCTGATAAGCAAGATAAAAATCACATACTGGCCCTCCACCGCTTCCGTACAAACTTTCCTATTATGCTGGAGCGAAATAAGGAGTGAATCTCACAATCTTCTACTATTTTACATGATCTGCATCAATCATCTTAAGTAATGGGCGAGTGGACTGATAATGAATTATTGGCATTCAATTACTACACTGTGTCGTAAGGAACCTAAATCAATTTTTGCAACACGTCTCACGCTTTTTTTGTAAATAATGAGTCTATGCGTTGTTCAGAATCGTTGAATTTCAGAGCTCATTTCAATGGGCGTGTACACCTTAGTAGAACTTTTAACTCAAACCATGTTTATAATGATCCCATTATACATGAATAATGATTGACGACATAATTCGATCGAAAAATTAACTGGAATGTTTTATTTTTGGACATAAATAATAGTACCATCTGGAAACGGACCCTCTTATGACATAGAAACCTCATCTCACCATAGTTGAAAGAAAATACCAAAAGCCCGACGGAGACTGAGGCAACTGATATATTAATTCTTTTAACTGTGATCTCGCGCTAATTCACTCTGTCAGTAATCCTGTATCATTCATCTCTGTCTGGAATAGTCTTGTTTCAGTATTAGGGTTTTGACGTCACATCATCGCCTTGTTTTCAGAGGTCCAAAAAATCGGGGATTTCAATAATTTTTTATAAAACGTAGGGAGCTCACAGCAAGAAACGGTTTGCGGTGGTGAGCTAGTTTGGGTGAGTTCTATCGAATTATGAAATAAAATTTTTTTGTGATATAAGCCCATTGTAACGTCATGGCCGCCACTTGGCGATACGTCGAATACGTCGAATGAGTGTCGAATGAGTGTCAGTTTTAATGTTATTGGTCAGATAATTTTCCATTTTCACTCATGAAGCAAGGTTGTCATGTCACCAATTATAATCAAGTTATCAAAAAGATGTTTGAGCCCTGTCGTTGAATAAAACATAATAGAAGGAACCAATGACATTATAGTTAATTCTTGACTTTTTTGAGAAAACAGCATGTCCAAATATTTTTCATTCTCCATAACAAAATATCATGTAGATGTTGGAGACTTGGCAACATTGTGCTGAATGCTGAGAACTGACAAGACCACGCCCACAAGTCGTGCGCCGGGTTGTCACGTTCATCGATTCAAATGTCCTCTAGTGTGAATTGATATAATTATTATTTACACAAATTTATAATAAGCAATAGGCCACAAATCATAAGGGAACATTTTGAGACAATCGATTTTCTATTGTTAATTTGTAATATCACCAAAAATTTATGAATTATGGAATAACTAATATTTCTGAAGTTCCCAATCGTATTTCAACACATGGCAACTGTGCTATGGTCTGCCCCTACTTACGAAATCGTGGCGTCAGTATTTAATGGCGGTAAATTTCTTGCCGTTTGAAAATTACTGTGGCATTATTGATGATTTTAGCACCTTAAAATTGACCGAAATTTTTTTAAAATATATGAAGCTGAAAGGTATTTGAGTGATGATCCTTTTCAAGAATTAAAAAAATTAGTCCACTCGCCTATTGAAATTCAATTTTTGTGAAAATAATACAGTGTCATTCATAAAGTCAGCATCATATGGGAAATACTTTTATTAATGACTTATTTTGAAATTCGAGTTGGACGTCAGGTTTTGCTTCGAAAAAGATGAAAAATGGCCTACTCAATCGGGGTCACGTGACTTTCGCTACATGTAAAAAGTGACATTTTATTTTCAAATTAATCGCTTGAAGTAGGCTTATTTGTTCGAATATCGAAAAAGTTCACTTGAAAAAGTTGTTTCTATTTCAATTTTACATATATTATGTGACTCGGATTTTATCTTTCCATTACATTTTTTAGATTTCGATATTTTTTGAAAATTTTCGAAATTTCTGTAATATTAGAAAAATTGTAAATTCGATTAAACTTCTTCATATCAGTAGCTCCATCATGCTACTAACTTTCAATTACGAATTATCACTAATTATCGACAAAAATATGATTTTCTTCAGAAAATGATGATCTCCGCTTCAAAATTCTGTTATGTTTGATGCAAACATAACATCAAAATGCTGTTATTTTTGAGTCAAGCATTTAGAAACGAAATTCATTTGAATTTATATTTTCAGTACTGGAACGATCAGTTTAAATGAATTTCGTTTCTAAATGCTTGACGATATATCAACTTTGCATCAAACGCAACAGAATTTGGAAGCGGGCGTATTATCATTTTCTGAAGAAAATCATATTTCTGTCCATAATCAGTGATAATAAGTAATTGAAAGTAAGTAGCATGAAAAAGCTACTGGTATGAAGTAGTTTTGTGGAATTAACAATTCTTCAAATATTACAGAAATTTTGAAAAATTAAAAAAAAAAATGAAAATTGTAAAGTTGCAATAGAAGGATCAAATTCGAGAAGCATGTGTAAAATTGAAATAGAAACAACTTTTTCAAGTAAACTCTTTCGATATTCGAACAAATAAGCCTACTTTCAGCGATCAATTTGAAAAAATGTCACTATTGACATGTTAAGAAAGTCACGTGACCTCGATTGAGTAGGCCATTTTTTATCTTTTTTGAAGCGAAACTCAACGTCCCACTCGAATTCCAAAATAAGACATTAATAAAAGTTTTTCCCATATGATGCCGACTTTATGAATGACACTGTATATGGAATGAATATCCCATCATGAAGTGAATTGTAATTCAATTTCTTCCTAATCTGCCATCTGCAGTGTCGCTGTAGATGTCTGAGGGCAATGAAGCACTGACGAGTAAAGAATTTTCAGAAGAGGAACAAACAAGAATACTTACTTGCAGCGGAAGGTGAAGAAAATAGAAAATGAAGGATTGGTATAGTAATTACAAACTCAGTTGAGATAAATTCAGCAAAAAACATCGCGTTGGCACGCGGTCCGTTTGAACTTTTCAAAGGGACCGGCTGGTGCAGCTGATCTCTTTCGATCAAGCTGTCTCGAGTGACTTTGCAAAGACTATACCTCGATAACCATACTATTGTTGATGATAACATACCTTAACATATATTACAGCGGGCTTGACATACTCTTTGGATTTGATTCTGACATCGAAGTACGTTTTGGCGATATGATTGACTAGAGCTGAAATGGTTTCCACGGGCTTAGCAGGGTCAAATAAGGCAGCTTTAGGGAAACCTTGACTCTTCAAATAGCCGTTCAAGAATATTTGGCCTGTTGCCAAATACCTGGAAATATAATGATAATATTTCAAGTGAAAAATGTTAACTTCAAAAGTAATTTATAAATATCATCGAACAGTGCTCTAGACTGATTCCTTACATAATATGTAAAGATATTAGACATTATTATACTATTGTGGCATCAATTTTAACATCACCAAAATACATATCTAGAGACAATCGCATCGAGTGTCTGGAAATTGAGAGCAAATATTTCAAGGGTGAGATGGGGGACATCGAGGTGCTTCTGAATAATCTTTATTTCATGGGTCAATCATTCTTCATAACCGAGATACAGGGTGATATATTGATTTTCCACATTTTTTCAATTAATCATAACTTATGATCCACCCTATAGAATTTTTTGATATTTGGTTTGTATGTTCTCTGTCCACAGTGGCGACGATTGACATAATGGAAAAAGTTTTATTCCAGGGCCGGCCTTGAAATAAATAATGAATAGGTTTCGAGTCGAAACAACATCCTGTATGTCAATATTTTGAAATAAATAAGTGATAAAAAATGAGTAAGACTAAATGTATTTGATGGTTCCGCATTCAACTTGTTCACCTATCAACTTGAGTCAAATGTAGAGGTTTCAATTATGAAGTGGCACGAAATTGAAAAAAAAATCATTTGTCGTCCTCAAATGACACTTTCGCATTTTCAATGCATGAAATCATCAACTAATCCTCATTCTCCTAATTTTCATATCCCGGCCTGATTGAAAAACTACAGGACAAGTCAATATTTGGGAAAAATTATTATTATTAAATCACTATATAACTTTGAATACCCTGTATGTGTAAGAACATTATCATAAAATGTATTTATCGTACTACATTCAGAACAACAGTCATGGAAATGAATGACCATGCCGAAAAAATACTGACTTACTTATACATTTTAAAGGTTGAACATACCAAAAAATAAATAACTAGAATTTTCTTCATCCACGTCTGATAAATTTTTCAGCTAGAGCATGATCATTTCTTGACTCTGATGCATGCTTGATGATAATAATAATAAAATGAAGCAGTCTGTATGTACACTTTTGGTTGGATATCCCAAATCGTTGTAATTGTCAAGATGGCTGATGTTTGAGTACAATTTTGACGTTAGTTGATGAGTTTGTACTTTGTATTTGCGTTTTGTGTTGTAAAACGTCATTCGTTGATAACAGTTATTGCTTACTCAATGACTGACACATTTGATAATAATGCACATGTTTTCTATATGTCTATGGACATAACTCAATACAATTTGTTGCGACGACATTTTTGTTTGAAATAAAATTGTGCTTTTTTCGGAATTGACATTGTTCAAAATTGTCATAATTGTTGTTTTGACTGTAGTACAATAAACAAATGATAATTCCATGATGATTTTCTTGGACATAAAAGTTGGTCATTTATAATAATAATCTGTCTCAAATACGGGCACGTCCCCCCGTTCTCAATTAGGTCGGGATCCAAAAATTGGGAGGAAGAAAAATAGTTGATGATTTTATGGATTATAAATGGTGAAGTATCGACGCGAATATCAGATTCTTTCGTTCGTATACAAGGTATGTCGAAAAATATACATTTTGCTCAAGAGTAAATTACCTTTAATTTCGATAATATAAAAAAATATCATGTTGAAAAGTTGACAAGAATTGAAAACTACGTACAAATATCTGATAACATCTACCTACGATGAAAATCATGTTTTATTATTTCCTACAATAATTTCTGATCGATTCATATGGAAACTTTTTATCATTAGTTTTACTGAAAAAAGGAAGAAGAAAGCATTTCTCATAGAAAGTTCAACATGGTCGAAAACCAAGAATTCAGATATAAAATATTAATGTTTTTCAGTCATATACAGGGTAGGTACCCGTAATTCGAACTTAAGCATGGGAATCTCGGTTATCATAAGAGATACGATGTTGCAAAGTTTCGCATTCTGGTGCTGAACAATAATCTGAAAAAAAAAACACCTGTCTTTCTTAGTTTTCAAGATATCGCCGAAAAACTGAATCTTGCGATTTTCGTAATCAAGTTAGCCATTTGTAACTCGGTCCAGTTTTTTGCAAGGAATTCGGAAATGACATCACTTTTTTTTAACAAACGAAGAAAGAAACAAACGACAGTCAACTTTGTTTTTTCCTCATGGACGCCACATGGAATTTTTATATTTCTGAATACAGTTTTTTTCTGATTCCGACGATGAAGAATTTGTATGAAATTATAAAACCAGATTTTCATCATAGGCAATAGATTTTAGCGTTTATTTGATCGTAGCTTTTAATTCTAGTCAACTTTATTCGATGATGATTTTCGATAGTTATTGTAGATGTTATGAAGATAATTCACTTTTGAGCAAAATTAATGTTTATCTGGAACATTAAGGCATGGTGCAATGCCCAGCATTGGCATTTCTGATGATTGAGTAAACTAACTTGTTGTCTTTCCCGGCAACACCAAAGTCAATGAATTTGCTTCACTGGCAAAGTGACTACAAGAATGTGAAAGGCCAACAGATTTTGCCCAGCAAAGAAAGCATTGGGCCAATAATTTCCCAGTCGTTCATTGTTTGATGGGTTTGATAATCAAAAAACGGATTATCCTGAAAAATTATCCTATCAAGAACCCCCTACATATGTAAAAATATACCTTACACATAGCAATTCAAATCCCCTCTGCCGAATTTGCATTTGCATTTCTCCTCTTCCTGACAAGATAAGGGCGGAAAGTTGGAATCACCCTTTAGATTCATAGCAACGAAGTACATTATACTATACTTCTACTACTACTTGTATCATGGAAACGTTATGAAATAAAGAGATTCCGTCTATCAACTATTTTAGGGTATTCTGAAAATGTTCTATTATCGCGAAAATATTTGCTGACAAAATATTTACGAATAAACAAATGCTAAGCCTCCTTTTCAATAATATACAGGGTGACATATAAAAAAGTACATTGCATAGTGCCACACAATAGAGGATACTAAAATACAAAAAAAAGTTCCTATGAACATGGGTCCGCAAGGCCTTCGGTTAAAAGATACGGGGTGTTGAATTTAAATTTTTTTTGGGTTTTCGTTGAATATTTTCAGCCAGAGACGCAAGAAATGGATAAAATGTGGTATACAACGGTTTTTCATCATGCTGAATTCACATATGATCTTAGTTTTGTGATGATTGATAGAGGGCGCTACATACAGGGTTCCATCCCTATTGAATCGGTCGTAACTTTTTTGCTATACAGTGTGTCCCACTTACCATGCTCACCATGGGTATCTTTTCAACGGTGAGAGATACGAGGTCGGTCAAATGACACCAAATGTGGAGTTCGTCAAGACCAACTATAATGTGAAAAAATATTTCGATAAAATCTATTCGTTTTTGTTTTATAGGCAAAAAACAGATTTCGATCATTTTCATGTCTCCTCCGTAACTTCTTTATTTATGAAAATATTCAAATAGGAATTTCACATTCTCATGGCAGTTTTTCAAAGTGATTTCGAAAATAATATGAAATTTATACCAACTCTTCTAGAATTTGAGATATCAGCAACAACTTTAGTTTTTCAAATGTAGGTCATAGCTTACTATGACTTAGTTACAAATAACTTTTTTTTCTTTTACAGATGATATGTCGCAGCAATAGTTTTGTGTTGATAACAACGGAGTAATCGTCATTTATACAAAAACAAAAAATTATTTGGAAGCCGCCATCTTGAATTCATGAATTCCAACCATAAAATCATGATCTCCGACCTCGAAAACCCCCACTCACCAATTTTGAATGGAATCGGACCAAATCTTGTCCGCCATCTTGGAGCAGCCATTTTTTTTTATTTCAACAAAAATTCTATAACTCCGATTAACTTGAAATTTGGTAGGTGTTCATAATTTCAGTGACAATACATTCTGGAATTTTCAGAACAGAAAATAACTGTCAAATATATTCAAAATACTGGTGTTCAATCATTTTTGAGTATTTTTTGTTTCTTGTAAAATTTCGAATCAATCATTTGTTTTTAAGATAATTCGAAAAGTACTGGTTATTGTCTGATGCCTATGCGGCTTACGGTAATCTCATAATGTTCACATACTCCTATTTATTTCGTCGAAATTGGAAGAGGGCGTATCTTTTTACGTACGAAAAGGTAAATATGGAAATACCGGGTGCTCAGAGCAAATGTACTAAAATAATTTTTACAAAAAAAAAATGAAAAAAGTGTAAAAATTATTTTAATACATTCGCTCTGAGCACCCGGTATTTCCATAAAAACCCTTTCCGTACGTAATAAGATACGCCCTCTTCCAATTTCGACAAAATGAATAGGAGTATGTGAACATTTTATGAGATTACCGTAAGCCGCGAGGCATCAAACAATAACCAGTACTTTTCGAATTATCTTAAAAACAAATAAGTTTATCGGAATTTTACATAAAATAAAAAAATACTCAAAAATTATTGAACACTTGAAGAAAAATAGATAGGAAGTCATTAGCGCACGTACAAAAAAAATATGGGGGTAAGTGTTTACTTGACCCCCAGTATTTTGAATATTTGACAGTTATTTTCTGTTTTGTTTTCCTCACACGATGTAACTCTTTGTGATGAAGTGATGTACCAATTTTGAGATTAATATCTTATTAATTACGCGAGTAATTAGAAAAAAACAGTTTTCAATTTCCAACTTTGACACCCTGTATATCGAATAAGAAGGGCTAAAATGAAAAATGGTATTTAGAAACTCATATTATTTTTGTTCAAGGAATATATGGTTAATGGATTGACCTCCTTTTAGCGGACACCCTGTATTTAAGAAAGGTATACCTTGTCCAAGTCGCTAGAATAAGGAATGGTTCCAATACAAATGCATCTAAAAGCCGACAATGCACGCAAATTATTCAAAAAGCGCCAAAGCAACTTTTGCAAAAACAATGATTAATACTTCAACAATTACATTTTAATGGTATGATGAAAAATATGAAAAATTAAAACAAAACAGTAAGTTTTCAGAAGATGTTGAAATTGTTGCCCATGTACTTCAATACATTTCTCCATTAAAATTCAACACCCCGAATCTTTTAACCGAAGGCCTTGCGGGCCCATGTTCATAGTAACTTCTTTCCTTATTTTAGTGTCCTCTATGCAATGTACTTTTTTCTATGTCACCTTGTATACACGTATACCTTTGAAAAATATATCTCTGAGTGAATTGGATGATTTTGATCATCAATCATGAAAAATCAGCCAATTTAATAACACTGAACTGAAGAATGTTTTTTGTAATTTCGTTTAAACGTGCTTTCGACTTTTTGTCTACATTTTGTTAGCAGAAAGAAAAAAATCAATAAAACAAATAAAACATTCTGAATCTTCCCAGTTTCAGTCAAGAAAATCTCACGTAGGTAGGAACCTCTTTTTATCTAATATGTTATATGCTATTAGCTATTTGGACCTCAATAAAGTTGAAACATATGGAATACAATTTAGGGACAATAAAGAAAGTTCAGTGAGAATGTATTGAAAAGTTCTTCAACTAAAGAAAGATTTCAGTTGTTTCTACTTCATGAATATCTCAAACTTTTTTCCATGTGTAATTATTCACAGTACTCAATAATGGTCAGGAAATTCCAAGTCATTGACTCCATCCGTATAGAGAGGATTCGGCAGTGGCACAGCATGTAGCAATACAACGCAGTACCGTTTCTGGTAGAATGTAGATGCTAATTGATACAATCCACGCAAATTGTCCCATTCAGAATTATATTAATATTATTAATACTTACTCAAAAGATAACCATGAAGGTGTCATAATATAATAAAATTATTACATAAGTTGGAATTCTAAAAAGAGGACAATTTAACATAATAAACAAAAAACCTCTTCAACTTCATGGTTATTCAATTATTTATTGATACAATAAATCCAGCAGGCTCAAAAGCTCATTTACAGGTGTATACAATTAGCATTATGAATAATAACACATATATAACAGAATCAATTCTGAATGAAACGGAGAATATCTTTTTTCAATTGTTTGAACGTTAGAGAAAAATTTATCTACACTAGGAACCCCATTAACACTTTCAGATATATTAGATATGGGAGAATTAAAATGATGCACTGTATTGGAAATAGGAATATGAAATATATGCTACAAAACCTAGATGAAATACGCGGTACATCGAATAGCATATGAGACAATAGGGGTGCACAATCTATTTGTCCATTTTATATGCAAAACACATATCTCGGCTTTCCCTGAATTTCTTTAAAGATATCATATGAAACTCGTCCAACAACGAATCATAGGTATAACCTCACTCGGGATAAACACCATATTTTTTGAAATATGCATATTTCAAGATTTTTTTTTGAACATTTTCTAGGTTGGATATATGTTTCATATGAGACGGATTTCAAGCGACACTGCAGTACTCTAATTTGCTCATGATCAGTGTGAAATAAATGGTTTTCAAGGAGTCAATAAAGGTCCTGAATTCCATGCAGTTGCGTATCAAGAACCCCAAATTTTTCATTGAAGTTGATATCACATTCTGAATTTGATTGGAAAACGTGAGTTTCTGATCAAACAGAACCATTAGATCCTTTGATTCCGTGTTCCGCGTTAAACTTTCACCATTTAGAATAAAGTTGAATGTTACTGGTAAAATTTTTTTTTCAATCTGTTGGAGCGCACGAAAGGGAATCCCTATAATGTTCAAAGAACATCGTGCGTTCCTAGGGAGAATAGGGATAGGAGGTTGGTATTGGAAGTTTTTTTGAACTTGTCATGATTTTACATTTATTTGTATTTAAGTTCAATTTATTACGATTAGACCAATTAGTCAACGAATTTGAGTCCTCCTGCAATGTGAAACAGACAGTGAAATAAGACTCACACTCAAGAATGAAAATGATTCTCAATTGACTCAGCTGTTAGGTACCCAATTGAAAACTATAGTATATCTGATTTGATTTTCTTGACAGAAAAATGATCTGCTTGTCTAGTTGTATGGTTGTGGTGATTACTATTGATTTGGAAAACCAAATTTGAATGCTTTTGACAATGTTTAACTGAATGAATGAACGACATTAATTTGAATTTATATAATATAGTGAATCTATATCTAATAATTCTCTTCTTCTGTAAAGGTTCATAGTAATTTGTACTCATTATATCTTGATTTTTTTGAAATGATCATAAATGCTGATTAACTATAATTTATACACAATTTATAACATGATAAACCATGATAATAATATTTTCAAATCACTTGAAATTTCATCCCTGATTTGTTTTGCTGAACCTGCTGAATAGATTAAGGTTGTGTCATCAACAAACATATAAATTTTACCTTTCAACTTCAAATTTGCAATAGAGTTGATACAAATAAGAAATAGAATAGGACCCAATACTGATCCTTGCGGTACACCGCATACTATTTTATCGCTCTTACTGAATGATTCTCTTAAATATACGAATTGTTTCCTATCACTCAAATAATTTTGAAACCAGTCGTAGACAGGACCTCTTAGACCAATACAATATAATTCATTCAAGAGAATTTCATGATTTACAGTATCAAATGCCTTTCTTAAGTCAATCGATAGGAGTCCACATATCTTGTTTGTATCTAGTTGCAATTGGAAATCTGTTACAACATCCATAACTGCGGACTCCGTATCACATGACCCTCGAAAGCCATATGGATGGCTGTAAAGATATTTCTTTGCCTCTAGATATTCTTGCAATCGGTAATTCATTACTTTTTCTATAATTTTAGAAATAACTGGTAATATTGAAATATCTGTAGTACTCCATTTTATCTCTCTGACAAGTTTTGTGGAGGCGATTAGATCCACAAGTCGGACAAATTGTCACTTGCAGCTCGTTTAATTTTGTCTAATAAGTTTTTTCATGAACAAGATTTTATACAGGGTGAGTCATTGAAATGGGAAAGTGAAATAACGGCTTCGCTGTTTGAGATAGATGAACAAAAATTCTTGTGATGGTCATGGCTCATGAGCAGCACATTCCCAAAATATTTCACGATTTTCACGCTATACAGGTTAACTTAAAAATGCGTGACGTATCGAAGTTATACTTTTTCCTATGGGGCATCCTGTATTTCTTTGTAATTTCGGATTCTCCTTTGTGAGCTGATTTCATCAATGCATCACACTTGGGGTCTAGCGAGAATGATTACAGAGTTATAGGGTGTTCAAAATCGAGATTTTTCAACTTTAGGATTTTTTTGTCTCGAAATTATTCATTATTGGTCAAAACGGTCTACATGTCCCTATCTTAACTTTTGATTTACTATCTACTGATATTCAATTTGAACGAATACAGGGTGGTTCATAATTCTGAATTTTGAAGCACCCTGTATTCGTCTAAATTAAATATCAGTAGATAGTGAATCAAATGTTGAGATGGGAAAGTATGAGTCGTTCTGAACAATAGTTGATAGTTTCGACACAAAAAAATTCTAAAATTGAAAAATCTAGATTTTGAACACCCTATATCTCTGTAATCAATCCCGCTAGATTCCGAGTGTGATGTATTGATAGAATCAGATCACAAAGGAGAATCCGAAAATGCAATAACATACTGGGTGTCCAACAATAAAAAGTATAACTTTGATACGCCACGCATATTTGAGTCACCTGGTTACGCACAGTAATTCAGAAATATGCTTCTCATGAGCCTGGACCGACACAAAAATTTTTATTTATCCAATCTGCATAACAATGACTACAAGTACTTTGATAAGAAGTGTATTTAACATTGAATTGAAGAATGAACAAAAAATAAGAGTCCGGTGTTACTATTCTGTCTTCTCGTTAATAACTGCCTTATACTCATCTACCCACTTTCCTATCCACCGGCCCCATTTCACCCAATTGATCTATCCTTGAAGTATTAGGAGCGTTATTTTCTATCCTAGCCTATACATGTATGGTGTACATGGTGAAACACATACCGATAACTTGTCGTAGTCGACATGACCATCATATAAAGAGAGTTCAGATTAAATGCAAATAGTGAAAATAGCAAGAGATGCAGTTTCTTTCCAATGATCATAATTCAAACCTAACGGTTCCTACATGAAGCAACATCCTGTATGTAGAAATTAATGAAGTAAATAAATTATACTCACGATTTGTAAACGGTGGGATTCGAAACGTAGACCAAGAATCCTGCTATTCTATCCGTCAACAATCTGATCCAATGTCTTCTGAAGGAGTGATTCTCCATCATTTCCCCAAATTTTTGATAACTAAACTTCCCTTGTTCATCGAGGAAGACCTACAAGAAATAAAAATTACTAATCTTCTGTGACGGGAAAAATGTTCGAAATTTCATCTTTGTTGTCAGGTTATAAAATGTCACTTTTCATAAATTACTTTTTCCTCAGGGGAAAAGAAGTATATACTTTTTTCCCGGATAAACAGGGTGTTACTTAAGTACGTGTAGAAAATTCAGGAGCATGTTGCTGACGTCAAAATAAGAAGGAAAGTTCGTATAAATATATGTCCGAAAGTTATTCGTTTCTGAGATACAGAGTGCCAAAGTTGAATTTTAATTTTTGTTTTTGGTTAAAACATTTCAAAATGATTGTGATATTCGAATGACGTTTGGAATTTAGGGGTATGTTCCAATGACAATATCAAATTTTATGTTAGTTTGTCTCTTTCGTGGGGGTGGTGCCACCTACATGTCTTTTGTGTCTTTTGAAAAGTCATAACTTTTTTGTGCGTACCTGTATCACGTTTTATTGTAGAAAAATAGATTTCCAGGACACTTTTGTGGTAAAAATATATTCTTGGTAGAGGTCGCTGCGAGCAACTGTTTTTGTGTTATTGGGATTTGAAATAATAGATGCATTTGAATTATTTCCATAGGGCTCGTATGATTTTGTGCGATTTTTCTCGTGCTTGTCTGTGGATCTCCTTCGATTGCCTGAAGAAAAACTTCTTCAATTTCTGGAGTCCTAGTAGTCAGCGGTCTGCCTATCACTGGAGCTTTTTCAAAGGATCCAGACTCCATAAGACGCTGAAAAAGGTTTCTGAATGTCTGGTGATTTGGCAGTCGATCATTAGTGAATCTTTCATTTGATTGTTATTTTTTCAAATTGGAAGAGTTCAAAAAAGTAGGTACAAAGAAGAAAGAATCATCCTTTGCCGATATTCCAATGTTGAATGTCGGAGAATATTGAATGAAAGAAGAAAAATGTACTGAAGTATTTTTTCTAATATTTACTACTCAGAGGCGACTAATGAGCTCCATGGAAATAATTCAAATGCATCGATTATTTCAAATCCCAATAACTCGAAAACAGTTGCTCGCAGCGACCTCTACCAAGAATAAATTTTTTACACAAAAGAGACAAACCAACATAAAATTTGATAGTTTCATTGAAAAATACCCCTAGATACCAAACTTCATTCGAATACCACATCTGATTTGAAATTTACTAACAAAAAACAATAATAATAATTCAACTTCAACACTTTGTATTTCATAAACGAAGAACTTTCGGACACATATTTATACGAACTTTTCTTCTTATTATGACGTCAGCAACATGCTCCTGAATTTTCTACACGTACTTAAGAAACACCCCTACATATATCACGCTGTTGATGGCTTTTCTTGTGCTATAGTTCCGAAAAATACCATCTCCGAGAAAGAACTCCTTTTATCTTTCATTCGACTTCGCGGTTACGTAAATTACTAAACAACCACTAAGTTCGCAATTTTTTAAAATCTAATCACAGACTTATACTGACAGATATTTCATTACTTCAGAAGGATGATGGAGATGTCCTTCGAGAAGATACCTGCAACGCAGGTGTCATTCCTGTTGAAAACCTCATAATGTAATATCTTCTTAATATTGATTCGTGCTTTTGCCTGTCATACAAAAAAAGTAGTGCATTATATGCACGGAAAAAATATTGGATTTTAGCTCACGGTTTTTGTTTCAACAACACAACCTGGAGCTAAAGTCTACTACTGTTTTCCCTTGTATACTAAATAACTATTAATATGGGAATAAAACATGAATACTATTGCTTTGGTGAAACCATCAGTCAGAACCTATGTCAATATATTTTATTTCTATGGTTTCTACAGTCAAACTCCAAATGCATGCGAGTATAAGTGCTAACTTCATCATTACTGTCACAATACAGGGCGGTCCCACTTCAAACGCCCCCCTGTATATATCTCAGCTATTAGTCGTGCGATACGTACCAAATTTAGACTGGTATGAATAACCATCAATATGATCAGTTTCTCAGAGACTAACATCATTTTGGACAGTGCTGTCTTTTTCAATTTGAATAAAAATCCGCCGACTCTTCATGAAATCATAACTAGAATTTTTTGCTGAAAAACTAACTTCATATGATTATTCCTCAAGCTTTCGAGTCTCTATAGGCAAAAATCTCCTCATTCCGAATAAGCAGGATTGGCTTCATTTTCTGCCTCAAAAAAAAGTGAATTCGAATCAACTGAAAATTTTGGGACAATCGATAGCTCCTGTAGGTAGAAAATTATGATTCGAAAGAAGAAACATGTTATGAATTTTTTGTTGAACTCACCGTTTCCGAGTAAATAATTATTTACGATAGCAAAAATGCTGTTCAGGTTGTGCCTGTTTTTCTGACAGAAATCATATGAAAATTTACATATAGGAGTTTGAAACTATGAAGAACAATATTATGAGGTCAGTTTTACTGTGAAAAATTTCATAAAAATTTAACCATTTTCATTTTGAGAAAAAGGCACGGCAATGTCCAAAGAGATGTTTATTCTTGAAAAACTGATCATATTGATGGTTATTATTCATATCGGTGCAAATGTTGTAAGAATAGCAAATAGCTGAGATATGGAGGGGGACGTTTGAAGTGAGCCACGCTGTAAACAGGGTGTTTCAAATTCGATCCTCTCCATTGGAATCTCGGAAACTATAAGAAATACGAAGATGGTTGAATTGGGGAATAGTTGCGCATAAACCTAACTAACAATTTATGTCTTTCAGAAAGTTTCGGAATTCCAACTATGTCCGGAGATATCCTGAAAACACCTAATTACAAAGTTTATTATCATGATATTGATATTTTTCAATATTCAGGATTTAGCGGAAATATATAATTCATTGAACCATGAGAATTTTTTTTCTGAAAGAATAAAAAAAAATGTCAGTCTGGTAACATGATATTCCGTCATGGATATATAGGACAGAATATTTTGTTGATTCAATAAATTGTCTCTCTCTCTGATGTTCAATCAACTATTTCTTCAAACCCTTGGATAAAAATTTGTTTAACATCAAAGTATAGGGTAGTACTTGCTTCCATCTCTTTCACACTCGAGTGGATAACTCAATAAAACGTACCTATAGGTATATATAGCATAAAAGCTGAGAATAATTCCAGGAATTTCATTCGAACACTCAATATTATGTATTTTGTCGAAAAATTTATGGAGACCACTACACAAGGTGTCCCAAAATTAGCCTGCCAAACTTCACCTGTGGCTTTTACGACCAAAAATAGAAATAAAACTCTCAATGAACATGAGTCGAGAAATGTCTCCTGAGGGAGCTACGGCCCCCTGAAACGGGGCTCCTGAAGATGATATTTCTTGAGTACTTCCGAAACTTCATGTGATAAAAAGATGCAATTTGGTACGACAACTAAAAGGTATATGTCCAATGAAGTGAAAATAAAATCATTTCAAAATTTCAATGAGGAGTATATAATACAGGGAGGGACTACATTAAATATTGCTCAAAATTTTTTGTATGCATATTTTTCGACAATTTAATCCCGTATTATGAAAATCCACACTTCTTTTTACAGAAAAAAGGTACTCTTGTTCCGTGACGATCAGATGTATTATCATCGAGTAAAAGCAATTCAAAAATATTGTTACATCTAAGATATTATGGATAACATTACAATGAGTCGTAGTGGTGATGAAATAAAAAATGCACAAAAATTGAAGTAGGTTTTTTATCATCACTTTACTATGTTTCGTGCTTTCATGAGATTGTTTGGTGAAAAGAAGGTAGTCGATTTTTTCATAGCCACTATGATTTGGAAATTGGCAACGTTATGCATAAGATGTTAGTGCATCAATATTTTTAAATCGATTTCACTCGAAAATGATACATTTGATCGATGCGGAACAAGAGCACCCATTTTGTGAAATGGTGTGGATTTTCATAATCCGAGATTAAATTGTCAAAAAATATGCTAACAAAAAAGTTTGAGCAATATTTAATGTATTCCCACCCTATCCCAGGCAACCAGATGACGTTCCAGTGACGTCTTTTTCTTGTCACTTGAATGACCAAGGTGACGTCAGTAGTTGATGACGTCGCATTGACGTGATAATGACGTGAATAAGTCCAATGACTTCATATTACTCACGTCGTATTGACGTCATTCACTCACCAAACTGTGACGTCCGACTGACGTCATAATGACGTCAAAATGACGATTGAATTTGGCGATGATACGTAAAAAAGATTCCTTTAACATGGTGTGATAAAAACCACTAGCCTCTGATGACATTATATAATATTGATTATGCATTGTTGAGTCTGCTTGGTGGGTCCCTCCTGTGTCATGTTCATTCAATCGCCTATTCAGCAGCGCCGTCCTTCAGTACGCATTTCCATCAGAATGCAATCAGTTACTCGTATTTGTATCAAAAACTATGTAGTTTGTGTCGGCGAGATGTAAGCAAACAAAGAATAGTTTGATAGCAATGGAAAGGATGTTGGCGAATTTGGCTTCACTTTGTTGACTGAAGTATTTGATGCATTCTTTGTCACCCAACAAAAATCTAAATAGCAAATTATTGAAAAATTTCCTAAATGACGAAGCTCACCAAATTGGTACGTCACACCGACGTGATTTTTAGACGTCATAGATACGTCACTGCAACGTCATAACGGTTTCAATATAGGTATACCTAAACAATCATTTTTATATATACATAGCTTGTTGGTTTCCGAGATATACAGTTTTTTAGAAAAGAGTTTTTCTACTACTTTTCGGGTATATTAATAATTAGAATAAAACTTGCATGTTGATTATTTGCTCTCATCAGTTATACTTCTGTTTCACATGATAATATATAAGTATCCATGGTTCAGAGAAGGTCTGGGAAAAATGGACGTCGACAGGACGTTCCTGCAACGTCCTGAAACTGACGTCTTCCTTTACCCATCTAAGTGACGTTCACTCGATGTCGAAACGATGACGTGATTATCACGTCATAGGAAGTACGTCATAGTGACGTCATAAATTGGTGTGTGACATCTCTGATGAAAAATCACCAATTAGGGACGTCACAGTGACGTGATCATTCGTCATCTGGTTGCCTGGGATATTATACACTCCTGAAAGAAACATTGAAATGATTTAATGTTCACCGCATTGGGCATGTAAAGTTTAGTTCTTGTATCAAATTGCATCATTTTATCACGTGGCGTTTCGGAAATATTCAAGAAATATCATCTTCAGGAGCCCCCTTTCAGGGGACCGTAGCTCCCTTAGGAGACATTTCTCGACTTATGTTCATAGGAATTTTTCTTCCTATTTTTGGTCGAAGAAGCCGCTGGTGAAGTTTGGCAGGCTAATATCGGGACACCCTGTATAATTTTCAGCTGAGGAAGTAAAAAGTCGAATAATATATGACAACCTGAGTACCTTGAATGTTTTTTCCGCTCCAAGCGCAGCTATAATTTGCTTGCCAATGTCGGAATTGATGAAGTGATCGAATACCACGTGGAGTTTCTCCAAAAATGGGGGTAGAAGCCAAGAATGACTCTCGTGAGACTTGGCCCTGCTCTCCGCCTCTGGGCCTGTGAAGGAGTTGATGAGCTGCATGATCATCGGGAGGTAGCTCATGAAGTTTCCTTCTTGACCACCATTTTTATCTTTACCTGTAACGTTCAATGAGGCCAATGTAGAAGAATATCTTCTACGATATTCCTGAGGAATAGACTATGTTTCGACAGGATTCGAGGCTTTTACTAATAGCAATGAGGAATCTTGTAAGTCGTAAGGAAGGCATCAGGTTATGAGTTGTGTGGGAAATTTCTTCGATTTCATCGTTGGCACACCTATTCGAGGAATATTTCGATATATTGTACACATGCTGATGTTGTTACATTTGAAATTTGGTAATTGGTTCTTTAATCAGAAACTCTATTATCTCAATTCGAACAATTATTCATTTCTTTTTTATACAAAAACAAACGAGTTAGCACCGGAAATAAATTGGATTATTTTTTTTTATGTTGGATGGTAGTGATGCTTTAAGGAAAGACATGAAAGGGATTATCTGAGCACCCACAGGTTTTTTTTTTCCCAAGTTCCGGAAATTATTGAGGAAATGTTGCTTCTTCTCAGGGCAATTTTGCCAAATAGAAATTCATAGTTTTCAAATATTTTTCTTCAATTTATATACCAGTTGATTCCGATTACTTCAAGTGAGTTCAAAAAAAGTCATGATATATTGTTTTTTATTTTAACTTTCAAAGAACCACCAATGTAATAGATCTGCATATATAATCTGCAAGATTCATCAGAATTTTTCGTCTGGTCCTAAACTGCCCTATCCTACACAGAGTGATACAAAATTCGAAAAAGACATTTCATGGATGTATTGTTGGGATCGAAATAAGTCTTTTTTTACAAATAAATGTCTCCTCCGAGCTCAGCCACAGTAAGTTGAAAAACAATTATAATTGTTTAGAATTCTGACTATAATAAGTAGAGGATCGAATCATCTAGAAATTGGCATTTTCCCGTTATTCCAACACTGTTTTTATTTTTTGTTCCAAAAATTATGTAACCCAGTTTTGGTGGAGTTAAAAAGGGACACAGTGGCTGTAGCTTGAAGGGGGTGCTGGGTTGCATTTTAGGTCACAAATGGAATTGAGTTACCCTGTACTGAAATTCAATACCTTTATGCACTTCAGGGATCTGAAGGGTACCTTTATTCCCCATTTTCGGGAAAAAGTGGTACTTTGAAACCCTAGAGATTTATTTTATTTTTGCAATGAAAGCTGAATTCAGAAGTGTATTCCCAAAATGTCTGTTGCAATTTTGACTTTATGATGCTTCGTGCTATTTTGACTTTTCCAAGAAATATGCTAGCAGAGTACCTTCTCTTTTGTACATTCTCTTACGTTCCGTTCTATGCACCATTTGATGAACTCAGATAACTGTTTTTTATATTGTTCAGCTTCTTGAACTGCCTTTTCCAATTGTTCCATCGTGGTAAACGTCTTTCAATCGGTGTGGCGAGTTAGACTAATATTTATTTATTCATGTTTAACTTAGTTACTCATAATAACACACATAGATGTACATTTTCCGATGACAATCATGATCTGGATCACCATAGTTACTGATGAGGTCGTTGATATAGTAACAATCAGCCTCTTCGATGATGTTTTAGAAATAGAGTGACTCCCGTTTAGCATCCAATTTTTTTTTAGATATTTTTTCCTTGAGATTTTACCTACCCTGAAGTGCATAAAATAGTATACAGTGTGTCCATTTAGTGCGTAATTCTTCGATATCTCGAGAGCCATAACCTATTGAGAAAAACTTTGAAGGAAAAACTTTTTCAGTTACTGAAGTTGCACATTTCAAGATTATTTCAAACATTACTGGGTGTTTAATGAATGCGGGACGATTAGGAGTTTTTTTAAATGGAACACCCAGTATTTTTCATTCGGAATTTATTCCGCCGAGGTTAACCTTCACATCGCTGTGAAAAAAATTTTATTTGGTTGTGGCGTTGCCGAGTTATAATTGATAAAACCATTTTTACCACTATTGAAGAGTCATGTTGAATTGGGCATGGTATTTTCATCTATTCGAATTTTGAAAATATTTTCGGCATACAGTAGAAGCAAGGTCTCACGTACACCAATCCAGTAATTCTGCGAGACAATCCTTTACAGGGTGCTAGAATTTACATTCTGAATATTGTAAGATTCAGACGACGTTCATTAGAAGTTTTCAAATGGAACACCCTGTATTTTTCATCACAGATTCATTACGATATCATTCGCATTTTCCTCGTTGAATAAAAAATCGAAATCGGTTGCCGCGTTTTCAAGTTATGAGTAATTTCCTTATGTTTATCACCATCTCAGGGCTACTTATAAGCAATCTTATAAGGCATGGTTCCTTTATTTGATTTGATTGTGGAAATATTGCTTGCAACATGACATCCGAGGTTCTTTCTACATAGATCATTCAGGTATTTTTGTCCAAATTTATAATATGCCGTAATCTTGTTACTCATGATTTAAACAATATGTACCTATGTGAAACAAACAAACATGCCAAAAGCAACGCCTGCCTTTAGAATAACTTCTACAATACAAACAATGAAGTTTTGGATTGCGAGAATAAGGACAATTTTTCAAAATTTAGGCCACTTTTATTGTCGTTATTCCCACAATCCAAATCTCCATTCAACTTGAAGGAGGTGAACATAATGATACAAACAATATTTTTTACTACGCGGGTTTCGGGAAGGAATTCAGCAAAATTTTAAATAAATTCAAGATATATTTGATTCTGGTGATGTGTCGAAAAATTAATTCATAGTCTGCAAAAAATCTGTGAAAGTAGCATTTTGGATAAATTTGTCGAAACCCACTCTGTTTTAAATTCAAACTTTCAGAGCCTGTGAATGTTCCTGTGAAAAAATATATGGATGGTCAATGGAGAAATTTGATTATACCGTATAGCAACGCAATATTTCCACAATTCAAATAATGAAAGAACTATGAAGTACAAATTACTCCAAAATAGTAGTAAAAATAGTAGTCCAATAAATAAAGGGAAAAAGTTAACATTAATTACGCACTATAGGGAAATTATCTATAATTTGACAACGTCGCAACCGATTCCGATTTTTTTTTTTCAGCAATAAAAAAGCGGAATATGTAGGAATAAATTTGTGAATAAAAATACAGGGTGTTCCATTTGAAAAATTTTAATGAATGTCATCTGAATCTTGCAAAATTCTAAATGAAAAATTGAGCACTCTGTTAAAGAAGATATCGCAAAATTACTGGATTGGTATACATGAGACCTTGATACTATCGTATCCCAAAAATATTTTCAAAATTTGAATAATTGAATATACCATGCCCAATTCAATATGACTCTTCAATAGTGATGAAAATTGATTTATCAATTATAACTTGGCAACGCCGTAATCGATTCCAATTTTTTTCACAGCGATGAGAAGGTAAACCTCGGCGGAATAAATTCCAAATAAACAATACTGGGTGTTCCATTTAAGAAAACTCGTCTCCGAGTTGTCCCGCTTTCATAAAACACCCGGTAATGTTGACAATATTTTTGAAACAAGCAACTTTGGTAACTGAAAGAGTCTGTCCTTCAAAGTTTTGCTCTATAAGTCATGGCTTTCGAGATATCGAAGAATTACGCACTAAATGGACACACTGTATACACCTCGAGACTGAAGTATTTTCAAATCCCTCCACAAATTATAGCCCTTCCGTTGGTCCGCCTATAAACTTTTTGTCTAGGGATTTAAAATACCACTGTATTCCCTAGGTTTTTAATATACTATTACCCCAATCTATAACGTCAAACTCAATCGAAACAAATCGTTAAACTTTCAGCCCACACTCCTTCTCCCAATATAATTTTATGCAATGATAATGATACTCTTTCAATTCTCAAGCCTTTTTTACCTGTTTGAGGTTGACCGATGAAATTGCTTGCAAGTGACAGCAAATCCCCTATGTCAAAATCTGGTTGGTCAGATCTGGACTTCTCGGCCTTTTTCGGATTCTTCGTTTTTGAGTCTTTGGACTTGGTCCCAGTTTTGGAGCCACCTTGGCTCTGGACGAACATATTGAGCATGTTGCCTATGACCGCAGGGTCTAGGCCGCCTTGACCTTCTTTGTTGCCTAGGAGTGATCCTAGACCTTGAAGCAAGGCTCCCGCGTCGTTGCCGCCTGCTCCTCCTTGATTCGCTCCCCCGAGAGCCCCCATGAGGGCTCCGATGCCTTCAAGGACGTTGGGAGCATCGGCTGGAAAAGCGATAGAAATTATGGTTCGGTTCGTCAAAGATTCATTTACATTTACATGTTATGAATTAGTGTATGAAATATTACTAGAGATTTTCTACAGGGTGTTCGAAAATATTGTAGTTAGATTCAACCCAAATCACCTAGGTAAAAAGTGTCTCCTGTCAGAAGGTTTTATTATTCATCATATTTTTTTTATGTTCTGGTTCCCACAAGAAGGGATATCCTGTAATGTTCAGAGAACATCGTGAAAACCAAACGAAATAAGGTAGGAATTAAGATAAGATAAGATAAGATAAGATATTTATTTCCAGAAAAAAACAAGTTTTGTAGGAAAGTGCACAGTAGTTGTCCTAAAACGATAGTTGTGCTAGAATGATCATTATATCTGAACATTTTACAAAAAAATATATAAGAATACAAAAAAAAAACACAAGTTCTTAGTGTACCTGAAACAATACAAATCCATTTCGTAGCAATTGAAATTGGTTGGTGTATACCATTACACAGATATGCTAAGATTATATAACTTAACGCTCATACTACACATTTACATAAAAATAAATAAAAAGTTGAGAGTACCTATATCTGAAACAATGGAACTATACAGGTGCTTTTCATAACGCTTTCGGTATACACATATCACATATTATTATCATTGAGAAAATCAAGTACTGAGTAGTATGCTTTATCTATTAGAAGATTTTTCACTGAACTTTTGAATTTATTGAATGGCATAAACTTATAATCGGTAGGCAGTTTATTGAATAGTTTCGCACTACTGTAATAAACGCTGTTCTCAAAAAACGATGTGTTATGATGAGGAAGTAAGATCATTTTGTAGCACTGTCGAGTGGAGGAAGAACTAAAATTGAACAGATTTCGATTTTTGTGACAAAAACATAAAGCTTCAAGAATGTAGAGAGAAGGTAATGTTAAAATTCTCATTTGAATGAAATATTGACGACACGAAGTACTTCGAGAAAGTCCTAATATAATTCTAATTGCCCTTTTCTGTAGCACAAACACTGATTTCCACATCATTGATTTAGCCCAGAAAAGAATTCCATAGGACATATGAGAGTAAAAATTCGCAAAATAAACCATTTTTAGGGTTTCGATGAATAGACCATTCGCTTTCAAGGTTCTCAAAGCAAAACAACTGCTGCTCAATTTCTTATTGAGTTGTTGAATATGATGTTTCCAGTTCAATTGTGAATCCAATAAGAAACCAAGACATTTACTTTCATCTACAAAGGCTACATTGAAGGCAACATCAACTACATCTAATAAAGGCCTCTGGCAGAAATTTACACAGTGCGTTTTGGAAAAGTTGACACTAATGTTGTTTATTTCACACCAATCATTTATTGTTATCAATGTCGAGTTCAGATTCAGGGTAGATTCTTGTGGGTTTGAACCATTGATTAGGAATAATGTATCATCGGCAAACATCGTTGTGGAGGCCTGAGGAATATTGCTTGGCAGATCGTTGATATACAGAATGAATAAAAGTGGGCCTAGGATGGATCCTTGTGGTACACCTGTGTTTATATCACCCCAATCCGAATAAACTTTCTTATTGTCTCTAGAGATGACCACCCTTTGTTGTCTATGGAAAAGATAATTAGTGAACCATTTGAGAGGCGTGCCTCTTATGCCATAATGCCCAAGTTTGAGGAGCAGTATTTCAAAACTCACACTATCGAAAGCCTTCTTAAAGTCACAGGCTAACCCGATTTGGTTGATCCTCGTGTCTAATTTATTATAAATTGCTTGAGTAATATCGTACATTGCTGAAGAAGTTGATTTTTTGTTCAGAAATCCATGTTGATTGGGAGTTATGATTTTATAGGCGTCTAAGAATGATAGGAGTCTTTTATGTACTAGTTTTTCTAAAAGTTTTGCTACAGTAGGCAACAGCGAAATGGGCCTGTAGTTGTTGAAATCTTTCTTATCGCCTTTTTTGTACAGAGGAATCACATTTGACTTTTTTAAACAAGGTGGAAAGACTCCTTGAACAAAAGATTCATTGAAAAGTTTCACTATATGAGGTATTGGTGTTCTTCTTGAATTTCTGGAGGTTATATGCCTCGGGGAACACCTCCCTTGACAATGTGTTCCAGGGCCTCGCTGTTCGTTGGATGAACGATTCTTTGGAAAGAGATGTTCTGCAAGTCCCCAAAGTGACCACGAAGGAAGCCTCAACTCGACGGGTTAATCTCGCGGGGACTACCATGGGAGGAACAATTGTTGATATTTCAGAAGAGCATCGTCCATGGAAAAATCTATAAAATAGAGCCAGATCGCCAACATCTCTACGGTGTTCCAGAGAAGTGAGTGGGTTTGTGAGCGAGGCATATCATCCACGAGACGATTTTTTTTATCGCTTGGAGCGCACGAAAAGGAATCCATATAATATTCAAAGAACATCGTGCGTTCCTAGGGAGGATAGGGACAGGAGGTAGGTATTAGATTTTTTTTGAACTTTTGGAGATTATAAGATTATATGTTGTTGGAAATACTTCCACAGGCAATGAATTCCAGAGCCTAGCCGTTCTTTGGATGAAGAAGTGTTGATGAAGTGCTGTTCGACATCTTTCGAGGTTGACAACGAAAGGATGTGCTGACTGGGCTTGTCTAGTTCGTCTAATTGGTATTGCTAGTGAAGGGATGATAGCAGGGATTTCCGAAGAACATTTCCCGTAGAAGTATCGATAGAAAAGTGAAAGGTCGCCGACCTTTCTACGGTGTTCCAATGATATCAAAGGGTGAGTGAGTGTGGCGTCACCCACCAGGCGAATGGCTCTTCTCTGGATGGAATCTAAGAGCATCAGCGTATGTTTTGGTGCTGAACCCCATATGTGGGAACAGTATTCTAGAACAGGCCGTATCTGCGCTTTGTAGATCATGAGAAGCTGTTGAGGTGTAATGTAGCTTTTCGCACGGAACAAGAATCCGAGTTTTTGTGAAGCAGCTTTTGCGATGGATCTGACATGATTATCCCATGAAAGAGTGTTGCTGATGGAAATACCGAGCATAGATATGGTGGGCTTGGTGGGGATGGTGGAGCCAGACATTACAATATCAGGCATACTGAGTTCCGCCTTTCTAGAGAAAATGCAGGCTCGAGTTGGCGTTGAATTCAACTAGGTTGTTGGTTCCCTGGGCTGTGATTTCAGCAAGTTCTTCATTTACAGCATTGACCTGCCTGCGCCGTGAGTTCTTAGTTTCCTGGGAAGAAATGGGAATTCTGGAAGAGAACGCAGTATGGAGGGTACTATCATCTGCAAAGCTGTGGATGGGGCAAAATGTTACTCCCAACAGATCATTGATATGAAGCAGGAATAATGTTGGTGCCAAAATTGATCCTTGTGGAATGCCGGAATTGATGTCAATGGTATCAGACGATACACCGTCCACCACCACGTGAAGCGATCTGCCTGAAAGAAAACTCGATAAGAGATGGCATAGCTGAGGTGGTAAGCCGTATGATGGTAGTTTGTGGAGGAGTCCTTCCTACCAAACACGGTCGAATGCTTTCGATATGTCCAACGCGACAGCTAGAGATTCCCCGCGTTTTTCTAATGAAGCTTGCCATAAATGGGTGACATAGGCAAGTAGATCTCCAGTGTAGATCTTCGGTGGCGAAAGCCGTATTGTCTATCATTGATGATTCCTGAGCTCTCCAGATATTTGATAAGCTCAATATTGATGGCTTTCTCCATCACTTTGGAGATTACTGATAACAGGGCAATGGGCCTGTAGTTGTTGGGCAGGTTCTTGTTCCCTTTTTTGGGGATTGGTTGGACTCTAGCTGTCTTCCAGCATGATGGAAAAATACCCGACCTGTACGAGACGGTAAACAACTTACAGAGAATCGGTGTTAATTCTGGTGCACATTTTTTGAGGATAATGGGTGGAATTCCATCAGGACCGTAAACCTTATTCGTTTTGAGACTAAGCAAAATTCGTCTGATAGTGCGTTGACGGAAGACGATTTCGGGCATTCGACTCTCAACGGGTGGAATGTCTGGCGGCACTTTTCCTTGAGAATCTAAAGTAGAGTTTGCTGCGAACATCTCTGCAAAAATATTTGCTTTCTGCGATGTTGTTGCTAATGTGCCGTCGGATTTGGACAGTGGTGGAAATGAACTATTAGTGGAATTTCTTCCGACCGCTTTAGCAAGGGATCAAAACGAACGGGAGCCATTGGGACAATCTATGAGTTTCGATCTTATCTTGGCATTGTATGTTTCTTTTGGAAGCACCTATATTGTTTGGCTGCAGTTATTCCTGGCATCTACGTATTCTGCTCTAGTCGCGAGGTTAGGGTTTTTGCGCCAGCGATGGTAGGCTGTTTGTTTCAAGGCAACAGTTCTAGAACAGTTTTTGTTGAGCCAGGGTTTCGAAGGTGATGATCTTTTCGAAAAATTCGGTATGTATGTGTCCATTCCGAGCATGATAATCTCGGATATTTCCCTTTTATGGACAGAATCCAACAGTTTCAGGGTATGTTTGGGTGCTGCACCCCAACATATGATGGGAACAGTATTCCGGGACAGGCCGGATCTGTGCCTTATAGATCATAAGCAGCTGACTGGAAGTGAAATAGTTCCTGGCTCGAAACAGAAAACCAAGTTTTTGGGATGCACTTTTAGCAATTGATCTCACGTGATTTTCGCAAGAAAGGTTATTTATGTATCAAGGGCGTGAAGTAGACGTTTATGGCCTGCGGCGTGAATAATGGTCCAGTGGCGCCAGCCGAGGGCCATTACACGCTGACATTTTATATATAACGTATGAATGCAGTAATCAAGAGAAGCGTTATATGGTCATGGAGAGTTCACATATTGAAATTATCGTACTGATAACGCAATTATCGTAATAACAACTCTTTGTTCACCAAAAGAAATTAATTTCTTGAAATGTTAGAAAATGCATACCTAGTATACTCAACACTAATTTCGTCGCACACCAAAATGTCGCCCCTGTTATAATGTGAATAACTTTTTTCAGTTTAGAACAATTTGAATTTGGTTCACACTGTTCGATAGCCCAGTCCTTCAGCTATAATCTCGTACTTCATTGAAACATAAGGGTATTCACATAAAATCTCTACATGGTGTTTTCCGACACTGTGCAAAATTTCGGAATATTCATAAGGCTCTCAAATGGTGACAAATTTTTTTTTCTCAACTTCGACAACAGAGGCATGAAGATGATCTCATTACCTCGAGATATTCCGCGAATCAACTCCCTATCTCTCTTATCTACAGAGTGATCTCAAAAAATCAACTTCTTGGTTTTGCAGCCATTCAATTCTCCTCCCAATCGAGATTCGGAGGGCGTTCCAGATTTGGGTCACTTTCAAGGAAATTCTAGATCTCTGATAGCCATCTTGAGTCAATTCTGATACTCAGATCTCTTCATCTGAAGTTTTATCTTCAAAATGAGCCTAAGATTTCTAAAATCGGTTGACGTAGAAAAAAGTTATGGCTGCAAAACCAAAAAGTTGATTTTTTGAGATCACTCTGTAAATAAGAGAGATAGGAAGTTGATTCGCGAAACATCTCGAGGTAATAAGATCATCTTCATGCCTCTGTTGTCGAAGTTGAGAAAAAAAATGTTTTCACCATTTGAAAGCCTTTTGAATATTCCGAAATTTTGCACAGTGTCGGAAAACACCATGTAGAGATTTTATGTGAATACCCTCATGTTTCAATGAAGTACGAGATTATAGCCGAAGGACTGGGCTATCGAACAGTGTGAACCAAATTCAAATTGTTCTGAACTGAAAAAAGTAATTCACATCAAAACAGGGGCGACATTTTGGTGTGCGACGAAATTAGTGTTGAGTAGTTTATATTTACTTGATTTTGACGTTGTCAGTCAATAATGATAATTATGATATGGCTGTTGTCTAGCAAATTATCATCCTGTTGGTGGAACTTCAGAGCAAGAAAGCAATTAATCAAAGAACTGCGTTAGTAAAGTAATACGTGATGAGAATGATGAGATTCATGGAATGGAATGAAGAACATGTTTACAATATACCAATGGAAATCATAGAATTAGCTTAGAGTGCGAACATGTTTATTCCATGAATTAGGTAGATATAAGGAATTTGAGAACAAAGAAGTATTTTACGGCATGCGGACCAAATCAGAATAGTCAAATATCCGTTCCTTAGTTCAGTTGTGCATTCAGATGTTTTATTAAAAAGATGCAGTTCACGCAAAATATTACATTTTGTTTTAAAATACAGGCAGTATCGAATATCAACAAATAGGATCGGTGGAAATCGAATCTAGGTGGTTCGTATCAAGGATATGTCACTTACAGTTCTTTTGTGTTTCCTTTTCTTGTTTAGCATTAGCTGCCAGCAAGGACCCTAGTCCCTGCAGCAGCTGTCCAGCATTTTCCTTTCCGAAATTAGAGAGGGCATCCCCCATAATATTCGCTCCTTCGGTCTCCATGAAATTCGTGAAGAGAGCCCCGAAATTTTGACCGTTCTGTTCCTTCCTGATGTCGCTAGCGACCTCTTCATACGGACTAGAATCTTCTATTGTGTTGTCCTTGGTGTTTTGGAATGACTTGCTGATACAGCATATGATGACTAGAAGTAGTAGGTAGTTGCTGGCCATACTGTTTTCTAAAAAGAAATACCTTGTATAGTCCTAGAATATCAAACACATCATTCACATAATTTTATTGGAAGTATAAAGAGAATAATGAAAGAAACAACCACTTTCGTTCAACTTCATTTAACATATGAAGGGTGTACCTGAAAGATCTGTACAAAATGATACTATACAGGGTATTCCTTGAAGTCATGCTAATATTTGAGGGGGTGATTCTTCGACTCATTTTGAAAATAAAACTTTCTATGAATGTATTGTAATGATATTCCCCTTGGAGGGGCTTTAGAAACATCAGCAGGAAGGCAGGAGTACAACGATCATCCTGTATCACGCATCCCAGATTGCTCTCCTACCTCCCAATGATTCCTACATGCACTAGCATATTTCCGAACACTCAATATATGCCGCGATGACAGATAACGTCACAGAAGATTCTGGAATGTTCTGGAAGGTTTGTTCTAAGAAGCTTCTAGAACAAAAAGAAGGAGACGGAAGATCATTCGAGAAGGTTCTCGAACCAAGCCTGCCAAGTGATCTCATATATAAACAGCCAAATAACTGCCGTCAGTCAGTCGAGCAGCGAGTGTCAGAGAGACAGATATATACCGCGTGATATAAATCGTTTGACATAAATAGTAGTTATAAGTTCGTTATAAATTAGTGTTTCTATAGTTCAAATAAATCAGTTCGAAAATAAATAGTGTCGTGTTCGCTTCGGCACCCGAATAACGTAACAGTATGTTCTAAAAGTCTCAACTTTTGAGATACAGGGTGATGAAGTTTTGAAAAATATTCAGTTTCTTGATAATAACTGAGACAATATTGTATGCATCTTCATGAAATTTGGTGCACGTCTTTTATATGCATCAAGGTGCATTTTATGATGTTCACAAATTTTCATTTTCTTCACCAGTGGCACCGTTAAGGAAATTAATTGTTTATATTTTACTCAAAAGTGAGCAACGACGAAAAATTTTCAAATTTCGTGCAATGCTATAAAAGGATATTCAATTATGTAGGTACAAAAAAAGATTCTCCTGTTGATACTCGATAGAACGTTTAGTTTTAGAGTAAAAACGGAAGAACCAGACCAGACTTCAAATTTTGATGTCTGAGTACTCCATTCAGGACATCCATTACTGGATGATCAGAGTATGTAACATTTCGAAATTCTGTTACCGATTAAGTTACATAGTAGACAAATTTTGCCACTAAAAAAAGATACAGGGTGGACAAAAAAGTTTCTATGCATATTTTCAACATTGGGGTTTACACATCTTTTTTTTTTTCTTTCTTATCTTATTCTTCCTACTAGCTCTTGGTAGGTATCATGTGCGTATTTATTTTTCCACCACTGCATCAATTTGGTGGTATATCTGTATTAGTCATAAGTTTTTGCTATACCTCGCGAACTGTATGAACTGAACTCCTCGTTATGAAACAACGTGTTTCTGTAAACAATAAATATTCTATTTCATTTTATTCTATTTTGATCACTCCATTCAAGTTAAATCGTCACACCAAATTTTAACGTATCTACCGGATAATTTACCACATTTGATTGGTTTATAGTCATAAGTTACTTACAATAAATTTTGATAAAACGATGTTTCCCCCTATAAAAAGTTACAAAAATAATCTTCCTCATCATAACTCACTAGAGATGAATATCCATAACGAAACTATCCTAATTAAACTCACCAAAAAAATTAAATATCTAGGGATAATTATCGATTGTCATCTTCGTTGGGATCACCAAGTCAACAACATTGTGAATACATTAGGAACTTTCTTGGGCCGTTGCAAATATCTAATCAAAATTTTGACCTTATACACCACCTCAAAATGCTCTACTTTGCTCTTGTAGATTCTCGTATAACATATGGAATTATAAGGATGGGGAGGTATCGCGAATATATATCTAGAAAAGTTAAATGTATTACAGAAATACTTCCTCAAGTTTATAATTCAAAAAGATTGAAATTACCCTTCAGATAACCTATACAAAGAAGCGGGAATACTAGATATTCGCCAAACTTTTTTCCTTAAAGCTGTTCAAAAATAAGCAGGATATTGACACTATCTCTCACAATTACTCAACAATAGCTGAATATGCTAATAAAGTAAAAACCCCTTCAGCAAATAAAACAGTCGGACCACGATTCTTGAATTTCATCTCAGAAACTTCTTCATTCCACAACTGTAATTCTGAACCCTATTATAGAAACAAAGTAAAGTCATTTTTACTGAGCAATCAGAGGACACTGATACATGCATTTTTCAATTGACCCTAAATCCATCGACAAAAAAATGCAATTTCTAGTCGTATTATGCCTAATCAATTATATGTTCGTGTACTTTTTATAATTATTATTATTATTGTTGATGTAACTGTTTTCATACTATTATACCATTTATATTCTGAATTATATTTATTATCATTTCCATGTTTACATGAATTATCTTCTCTATTATATTCATATTAAATTCTATTAATTATATACTATTTTTGTACCCGATTTACTGTTTACTATGTATTATACTATGATCTCTCTGTGAGTTGACCACAGACAGCGAAAGCTTTGTGGTTTTTCTTTTTTTGTTCATTCGTGTCAGACTAATACGTATAATATTTGTAAAAAAAATATTATTATATCATTATTATTATTTCAATTTCTTATCGACTACACAGCCAGGTCTCATTTTTGCAATTCTTTCGCGCCGTTGCCGAATTGTTTAGAATTATACCGAAGCATTGTAATACACAGAGGCTGATTCCAATATGCCTGCTGCTTCGTTTTCAAAATTTCCAAATAAAATTATGCAAGAACACCGATGATTATTCGACTCTCGCCTTAATGAAGTCATAAATGAGAGTTATTTTACAGTGTCATTCATAATAAACCCCTGTATATTTCAGTAGAAAGTATTTACTTTATTCGGAAGCAGAAACGAGCACGACACTATTTATTTTCGAACTGATTTATTTTAACTGAAGGAACACTCATTTATATCGAAATTATAACAACTATGTATGTAAAACAAATTCATATCATGTGTTATGCTGACTGACTGTCAGACCCTCGGTCAGACCAATCAGAATGGAAATACAGCTCATGTTTTCGCGATAAGCACACGTTGTCTCTGGTTTGTGATTGGTGAGATTATGTGATGAGTAATATAGTCGACAGAAGTATGATCTTCTGAGTCACCTATCAAAATATCATCAAACTACTAGGTTTTGTCGAAGTTACAATTAGAGGACAACAAGAAATGTCAAACGCCAAAATTTGCAATAGAACGTTCCAATTCGAGACACATGTGTAGAATAGGAATAGAAACAACTATTTTCCCTAAACTTTTTTGAAAATCGAACAATTAAGCCTATTTTCAACGATTAATTTGAAAAAATGTTACTTTCGACATGTAGCAAAAGTCACGTGACTCCGACCTAGTAGGCCATTTTCCATCTTTTTTGAAGCAAAACTGAAAGCCCTAGTCGAATTTCAAAATAAATCATTATCAAAAGTGTTTCCCATATGATGCCAACTGCATGAATGACATTGTATAATTAATATCATTCCTATGATAATTTTTGCAACATGAATGATGTCAGAAGAAAGAATGAATTTTCACTTATTTCACGAGAGCTTTTTTTGTCGAAGTAAACTTGACACTTCAATGAGATTTATGTTTCCTGTTAATTAAACGAAAAAATTGCCTTCGAAAAAATCCGTAGAACGAGTAATTTTTTCTGGAAGAGTTTAGAGTTTGATTTCCAAAAAGCAGCAAAACTCCAACAGAAATCAACTTTTTAGTTTACTCCGACCAAAAATAATTCTCTAGTGTATTTCGGTAAGACAATTTAATGAATACGTAAATAACACTATTAATTGTTGATGATTTTTTCAATTTCTCTACTCGAAGACTACAAATCGCCACAGATTAGATACTATTCTGACAACGCAAGATAGAGAAAATTTGACAGGCCTCCGAGGCCCAAAAAAAATGCCCAAGTGTATTTCGGTAAGACAATTTAATGAATACTTAAATAACACTATTGTTAATGATTTAACAATTTCTCCACTCGAAGACTCAAAATCGCGACTTTTCCACAGATTATATTACTATTCTGACAACGCAAGAAAGAGAAAAATTGACAAGCCTTCGAGATTCGTTCACAAATCTGGTTGACATGGTTTCAAATGTTAGGTTCCGTTTTGTCACTTATCATATATAACGAAAGCTTCCTTTTGTCGAAGAGAACTTGACATTTCTAATGAGAATTTTGCTGCCTGGAAATTAAACAAAGAAAATCGCCTTTGAGGAAATTACGAGTTCATGGACGAGTATTTTTTCTAGCAGTTTTTTGAGTGTAATTTACTGAAGGCATCAGAATTCGAATTATAAATATCAAGTTTATCACGACACAAAAAATGCTTGAGTTTAATTCGGTAAGATGAAGAATTTGATGAATGCGTAAATTACCTCATTGTTGATGAAATAAACGCCATCAAAGATTCGTTCACAATTCTGGTTGTCATGATGGTTTCAAATACTAGGTTCCGTTTTGTCGCTGGAAAACGTCAGTTTTTTCGCTGTCATATTGACAAAATCACAGCGGCTTGTGAGATTTTTTATACATGAGTTGAATCGTCACTGAAATATACAGAGTGTTCTATTTGAGATCACATAATGATGACCATTCGAAAAGGTCGACGCATTGGCTGTTCATATATCACCCTACCCTGTGAGTGATCTTTCTTGAAGCGATAGTCGATGTATCATCGAGATAATTCTATAAAGAAATTTTGAAAACGAAGATCAGCAGGCATATGGGAATTAACATATAATTTTTCGAAATAATTCCAATTAACTTGGCAATGCCTCTAAAGAATTGTAAAAATAATACATACCTGATGTGTAGACCAGATAATGAGAAATCAAAATATATAAAAAAATACGGGATAATCCATTCAAAAAATTCATAATTCATGTAGCCC